AATGACGCCGGAATTTGGGTCAAACTGCCATTTCCCCAAATTTGTCACAATATTTTGGCAACGTGTATGGTTCATTCGCTCCAGAAGTATTTTATTAATTTATTGCATAAACCTCTAAAACACATTATGTGAATATATTACTTGCGAAAAAATTTGTGCTTTTTTTAAATATAAAAAGCACGCTAAACATGCAGCATATTGCATTTTTTGTCATTGCCAAAAATAATGAAAGCTAAAAAATGAATAAATTATCGTAGTGATCAAATGTCAGCACCTCAAGATGAAAAAAAAAGTTGTTTCGCAGTAATTACTCGAACCAGTCATTTTATACAGATTATTTAGCATGACAGTTTCATTTTGGTGCCCAAAGTTCAAACCATCTTCTAAGCTACCGCGTATTTTTTTTCACAAAATATAATGTCTCAATAACTATTTGTCACATTCAGACATACTAACACGAGTTTTTTCAGCATGATCAGAGATGGTCGAAAATTCACCTGTTACACTTGATTTGACCCCCCCCCCCCCCACACACACACACACACAAACACACAAGCGCCATTCTTCATGGGAGGCTGCGTATCTTGTGAGGACGTGAGGCTGAGGGAATGCCATTGACGTGTCTCACCTCGACCAGGCCAGGATTAACCAGCAGGGTGCGTCGCCAACGAGATTGTTGCTAACGAAAGGCCGTGAACCTCGTGGATGCCCCAAGAACGAGTGTCCCGAGAGAACGTTTCCCGCCGCACAGCGCGACCCGTCGTTCTTTTCTTGTTGCCGGGTGGGCGGATTCAGCGTAGCCTTGCACCCGTACAGTGTACACCAAATCAGCCAATTGCGCGAGTCGCTGGCTTAAGGAGTCCGCAATTTACGACGTGCGACGATGCGCCGAGTGCGACCACTATAAGCACTATACTGCAGGACATCCACTCTGATCCTGTTCTTCCTGTGAGTGCGCGCAGGCACAGTGAAGGTCACGTCCGCGTGGAGCAGCTAATCTGACAATTTCGTTGACGAAGTTTTTGCGATAATGCTGAGTATACCAAACGAACAAGATCTCTCACAACAAAAAGTGCATCGGTTACGTCTTTGCTGCACTCAATTTAGCGTCATTGCAGGAAACTAGACGAACAACTTCTGAATCAATTTTCTGCTGAAACTTCGTCATTTGTTCTCTTTTTTTCGGCTTTATGAGGTACTGCTTGCCATTGTTCATAACAATGCTCAATTTTCGCTACATACACTCGAAAATTTTTGAGAAAAAGCAAAGAAAACATGCCTGATGCGCATCGTAACAACCAACGGTGAGGTGACGCGTGTTTGAATAAGTGATAATGCGTCATGTAAACCTCATAGCGTCTGCTTATACGGATGCTCATCCAACACTCTCACCAGTGCTTATCACCACTTCCCAAAGACAATCCCGAGTTAAGCTCCTCATCAAGTTTATGCGAGTCTCATATATTTATGCTTTTCCCGTGTCGAAATACGTAGTAAACATTAATGAATTTTGCCACATACATGTATATCGTACGGTTGCACTGTTCGCAAGTGTGCTGAAAACACAGCTGTACATATACACATCTTCATTGTCCATGCCACATATGGTTCCCCTCTGTCGGTCAGAAGGCAGAATCTTAGGACACTGGCGCAAGCCACCTTCTGCGCATGGAGCCATGGACGTGTTGCTCAGCCTCCCGAGGACATGCGGAATTTGACAGGCGTGAAATGATAGCTTGATGCAGCGCGTGTGTATAATTTCTCCCTTCTTGTTTTCAGTATCTCCTTTAACCTCATTAAGCTTTTATTGTTATTTTCAAACTCCCAGATCTTTTATTTTAGTACCGAGCAGTCGAGTGGATTTTTTACAGCCTGAATTCCTTGAATATACTTCTCCTTTACAACACTTCTTGTTTGAATACTGACAGCCAGTTACATCACCAGCTGCATCGTAGCTTTCTTCATCCCACTGCTACTCGAAATTTCAAGATGAGCTGTAGGCCTACAATTGCTGCTTCTTAAGTCGCTACTATCCTGGAAGCAGTCGAAGTCGTTCGGAACCAAGCACCTTGTGCTTGGACGCCTTACGTTTTTGCTCAGTTAGTACAGCATCAGACACGTAATTTGAACGTTGGTGATTCGGATCCTACCGACGGAAAAGGGTGATCTGTCGTCCACTTCAATAAATTTCAATTTATGCCATAATTACTTTAAAAACAACAAATATGTCCCTTCTGATTATTTGGCTTAATTACCTGTTCGGTTCATTTGGCTGTGCTTGGACAGTCCTAGACGACTCCAAACACCCGTTGCAAATCATTGTATGCGTTTTGACCAAGGCATGTTACAATCTAGCCCTCAAAACTTCAGAATTTGCGGGTATTTAAGACAGGCAATAATTCGGTTATTTTTGTTAAAGTCAGTACCTGCTTTAGCATTCGGTGGGGAGGGCCACATACATGTGGACTCTTGAGTAAACAGCAGCGTTGCATGATTGAACCGCAGCGCTCAGTGCTGTTTGCAAACGAGATACAGTTTGCTTGACCGCAGAGCACGGAGCCTCATGTCCTATCATCAGAAGCAATGAAACTGTTACCATAGAGTGGTCACATAAATTTGAGGCCAAAATTACATTTCTTAGCATTAAATCTAACATCAAACAATGAGACACAAGTGTGCTGTACAGAAGACTACTTCTCACAACATTCACGCGGATCTATGCTCACCCTAATTCCCGAGAAGCAGGTTATAGCGCTTACAACGGAGGTTATAGCGCACCAGCTCAAGCCGGCGTCTATAACTTTGTATAAGTCATCTACGTTTTTATTGACTCTTCAGTCTATAGCTTGCATAGATTGGCTGTCATAAGTAAAATGTCAACTTATTTGTTCCGTTGCTTTAGGACCTAGCGTATTAGTGTTTACCAATAAAATCTAGGTATTTGACTCTTCTGCACGGGGAGATTGTGACGGCACTAGAGCCTATGGTTTATTTTTATCTTACTTTAAAGACGCATCTTACTATGCAAAATTCTTATTCAGTTCAACAGTCGAACAGAGAGACCTAGGACAAAATACTGATATGCTTGTACAAGTCTTGTGGCAAGTTAGAGCACTGCATGTATTCCCCAATAGCTGCTAATAGTCAAAATCAAAACGCCAAAATAACTTTTTGAGGCTGTTTTGACAAGCATGCAAGGACATCGCTTGAGTATTGCATAGGTATTCCTCGTTTACCGTGATTATATGTCCTTCATATCCTTATTATTACGTCCGACGAAGCAGCTAACTGGTAACTGGAATGGTAGCCCCATATTGAGAAAGGAGCAGCTCGAAAAGACAGAACAAATGGTTTGATAAATTCTGCAAATAGGGACCAAAGCTGGTGCAAAAAAAAAAATGATGCCACATTACTTTATCCGAAACTTTGTGTGCATCCAATACAGCCATTGTATACAGTTTCGTGTATATTCAATACTCACTGAACGTGCAGCTTACAGCAATCGCTAGCTTTGGCGGAGCTGAAGCACCAAGTATCAAGGCATGTCACAATGCATATTTAAACTACCTAGCCCACCATATCTGCTTCAACAGAGAGGAGGGTGTTATATCAATAATTTTAAGGGATTCAGTAGACAGCACTCAGTATCAACAGATTCACCTAAAACCATGTTGTTAATTCTTTTGTCTCTCTCTATGTGTTTGGGGGGGGGGGGGGGGGGGGCTTTGCTCTAAAAAATTTACATTTCAAGCTTGTGTTTTAGCAAGTTTGCTTATATACATTGTGACAAGAAGTACTGCGCCAGACTTCTCGAAATGTTTTTGCAGGTGCAGTGCTTCTTATAAAGATACAGTTGATAAATACGTATTTTCATCTTTTACGGACAGCGAAAGCAGAACTGAAGAACGAGTATGCCAGAAGCGTTATGAGTAACACCGCTTGTAACCTGGAGAGAGACAGTGCCTTCAAGGAATAACGACTATACAAATGCTAACAGTAAATCTGCATAACACACACGCACGCACGCATACATGCATGTAGACATGTAGACAAATACACATCACACCGTATTTGAATGGTCACTCAGTAATGAGAACAATGCATGTAGACATGTAGACAAATACACATCACACCGTATTTGAATGGTCACTCAGTAATGAGAAGAACGCTGCACGTGGCTAATTGTATACACCCGAATTAATTGGCAGAGGTTTATCACACGCTAACAAAGGCTTTAGTTGGCAAAACTCAAATTGTGTACTCTAAGGTTCCTCCCGGCACTGACATAAACAAGAGCAGAGAAATCACAACGTTTCAGCTCACGCATCAATTTTCAACCGGGGACAAAATTAACACGCTCACCGGGAGGCAGTGAGCCATTATAATGTGTGTTCAATAACAACCTACGAACGGCGTACAAATACTAAAAGCACAGACACGATTACGTCTCGATAAACCCTGTTCAGTGCCCGCTGTACGCCACGAGATATTGAGAAGCACGTCAAAGACTCACGCACTTCTCTGCCTGTAAAGCGTACTTTACCATTCGCACCAAACACTGCAAAAAAGCTAGACCACCGTTGAGAGGGACGCTTCCTTAGTCGTCAGCAGTCACCGCCCAGAGAAGTGCCGCGCCAGCGCTTTCAAAACGAGCTGTGCTCGTGGATCACAATTTGCACGTCCGCCTCCGCGAATCATTCGCTTATTAGGCCTAGCCGCATAATGCGCCCCACGACTATTTGTGCACTGCTTTGGCGACGAAAGCAGACGCCTTTTCGAGGCGCCAAGTTACAGCGAAGCTGTGCGACTCTTCACGTTTGCCAGTAGAAAACTTCACACGGAAGGCGAGCACGGCCGCAGATATTTGAAGCACTGATATCTTGCAGCAGAGATTACGCAGAGGAAAAAGGCGAGCAGAGTGCCGAGAACTAAGCTCGGAAAGTCAGTCTGCGGCCACGGCATGCTTCCTCGGTCGGTTTACGCGAAGCATGCGTACGCACCTTTTCGTCGACGAAGAATTCCGGCAGTATGTAGTCCAGCATGGCTGGACTGAGCGGTGGCCGGCCGTTATCACGTAATCATGGTCGAATTTCATAAGTACTCCCCCAGTCACAGCTGACCCGTCCCCGACGACTGCGCGCTAGACAATAGGTGCGTTCTCGGCGCGTGACCGGTGGAGCCATCTCCCAGGAGCCGTTGCAGCGTAGCTGGTGCGGCGCCACGATTTAAAGGGGAAGCAGGTTATATGCTGGCGCTGCGTCTAGCAAGAAGCGTACTTGGTAGCTGCATAGGCCTACATTCATGCGCTATTTACAAGAGTGAAATACAGGGAATCTACAAACTGTATACAGTTTTTTTTGTAGATAGATATATGTTAAATGCTTGATTTGAAAACCCATGCATACATAAAAAATGGCAATAGACAAATCAGACAAATGCCCGCTTGTTTACTTTTATAGAGAGATAGATGGATAGAAAGAGAGAGAGACAAACAGTGATGCACCTAGATAAGACGAGCTACAAAATCAATTCAACGCTTATTTATTAACTGTTTCACAAATTTTTGCTCTAGGTAGAGAGTATAATACTTGAATTTTTATTGTCACGCACGTGTCTGCAGCAAAAGGTCCACTATGTTGGGTAAGTCTGTATACCATATCAGTATTAATCCCTTTCCTGACATTGTGAGAGTCTGTTTCCATGTTTATCTTATCACTTGTATCGATTTTGTTTCGCCGCGTACAGGGCGGTGTAGATTTTCTTTTAGAGCGCAGCCCTCAGACGCCCGTTGTTGGTTTGAGCGTCGTCCGCAAGAGGAGGATGGGATTACGGTGCTCGGCTGCTGACCCGAAAGTAGCGGGTTCGATTCTGTTCGCGGCGGCCGCGTTTCGATGAAGGCGAGATCCTGGAGGCCCATGTACTGGGCTGTGTCGGTGCACTTCTTCCGTAGCCCTCCACTACGGCGTGCCTCATGATTGCGTCATGGTCATCATCATCATCATCCTGACAACGTACACTGCAGGACAAAGGCTTCTCCCATGTTCCACGAGTCAACTAGGTCCTGTGCTTGCTGCTGCCAATTTATACCCGCAAACTTATTATTTTCATCTGCCCACCTAACCTTCTGTCTCCCCCTAACCCGCTTGCCTTCTCTGGCAATCCAGTTTTTTACTCTTAATGACCAGCGGTTATCCTGTCTACGCGCTACATGCCCGCCTAATGTCCATTTCCTCTTCTTGATTTCAACTATGATATCCCTAACCCAGGTTTGTTCACTGATCCACTCTGCTCTCTTCTTGTCTCTTAAGGTTACACCTACCATTTTCCCTCCATTTGTCGCTGCGTAGTCCCCAATTTAGGCTGAACCCTCTTTGTAAGTCTCTAGGTCTCTGCTACGTAGCTAAGTACCGGCAAGATGCAGATGTTATATACCTTCCTCTTGAGGAATAGTGGCAATCTACCTGTCATAATTTGAGAGTACTTGCCAAATGTGCTCCACCCCATTCTTATTCTTCTAGTTACTTCAATATCGCCAGTTGCAATCTGTTCCTTGAGTTACTCAGTAACGCAATGTCATCGGCGAAGGGCAGGTTACTAAGGTATTCTTCATTAACTCTTATCCCTAACTGTTCCCATTCGAGGCCTCTGAAAACCTCCTGTAAGCACTCGGTAAATAGCATTTGGGAGATTGTATTCCCCTGCCTTACACCCTTCTTGATTGGTATTCTGTTGCTTTATCTATGAAGCACTATGGTAGCAGTTGACCCCTGTAGATTTCTTCCAGGATGTTTATACAAGATTCGTCGACGCCCTGATTCCGCAGTGTCTGCATGAATGCTGATATTTCTACTGAATCAAATGGCTTCTCGTAATCTATGAAAGCTCTGTATAGTGGTTAGCTATATTCTGAGCATTTCTATATTACCTGAATGACTGTAACAATGTGGTCGATTGTTGAGTAGCCTGTTCGAAATCCTACTTGTTAATTTGGTTGATTGAATTCTGATGTTGTCTTAATTCTTTTAGCTATTACCTCTGTAAATAGCTTGTATACTACGGAGAGCAAGCTGATCAGCCTGCAATTCTTCAAGTCCTTGTCATCTGCTTTCTTATCTATTAAGATGATGTTAGCATCATCTAAAGTACCGTTCCAAGTCGCAGCTGAACCCCGCCGCGGTGGTCTAGTGGCTAAGGTACTCGGCTGCTAACCCGCAGGTTGCGGGATCGAATCCCGGCTGTGGCGGCTGTATTTCCGATAGAGGTGGAAATGGTGTAGGCCCGTGTGCTCAGATTTGGACGCACGTTAACGAACCCCAGGTGGTCAAAATTTCCGGAGCCCTCCACTACGGCATCTCTCATAATCATATATGGTGGTTATGGGACGTTGGTTAAACCCCACATATCAATCAAGTCGCATGCAGCTGAGGCTGCGCAATGGGCACCGGCAGTGCACCATACAGTGAAGGCTTCGCTTTACTCGATCCATCTTTTAATTTTTAGTGGTAGTTTATTTTCCCTTCCTTGTCTTTTAGTGCATAATATTTGGCTATCCCAAGTTTTTTCTTCACTGATTTGATGCTCCCTCCGTTCTTCAGAACGTGTTCAATTCTCTCCATGTTATGCCTTCTTACTTCGGATACCTTACGCTTATTAATCAACTTCGAAAGCTCTACAAACTCCATTTTGTCTGTTGTGCTTGAGGCTTTCATGTTTTGACACTTTTTGATGAGTTTCTTCGTTTCCTGGGACAGCTTCCTATTGTCCTGTCTAAGTACCGTACTTACAACTTACAGTGCACACTACGTAATGAAGCTCGTCAGATTATCATTCACTGCGTCTACGCTAAGGCTGGTTTCTTCGATAAGAGCTGCGTACCTGTTCTGAAGCAAGACTCTGAATTCCTGTACTTTCCCTTTTAGTGCTAGCTCATTGATTTGCTTCTCGCGTATCAGTTTCTGTCGTTCCTTGTTCAAGTATAGGCGAATTTTAGGCCGTACCATTCTATGGTCACTGCATCGTACCTTGCCAAGCACTTCCACATCCTGCACGATTCCTGGGTGTGCACTCATTATAAAGTCTATTTCGTTCTTATTTACGACATTAGCGCTAGGTTCCCTCGTTTTTGGTAGAAGGCATTCAAAATCCGCAAATTATTGCGTTCTGTGAATTCTACTAGTATCTATTCTCTGGAATTTCTAGTACCGATCTCATGATCTCCTACTGCCTGGCCTCCAGCCTGCTTCTTCCCTACCTTTGCATTGAAGTCTCAAATAAGTATAGTATACTGTGTTTTTACCTTACTCATTGCCGATTATACGTTTTCATGGCTGGATCTAGGCGCGTAAGCCTGTATCACCTTCATCTTGTATCTCTTATTGAGTTTAACTACGATACCTGCCACCCTTTCATTAATGCTATAGTATTCCTGTATGTTGACAGCTATGTTTCTGTGAATAATGAACCCCACTCCCAGTTCTCTTCTGTCAGTCAAGCCCTGATAACAAAGGACGTGGCCGTTCTGTAGCTCTGTATAGGCGTCATCTGTCCTCCTAGCCTCACTGAGCCCTATTGCATTTCATTTAACACACCCTAGCTCCTCGAATACTACAGCTAGACTTGCCTCACTAGATAAGGTTCTAGCGTTAAACGTTGCTAAGTTCAGGTTCAGATGGCGGCCTGTCCGGGTCCAGAGATTCTTGGCACCCTCTGCTGCGTTGCAGATCTCACCACCGCCGTAGTCAGTTGCCTCGCAGGTGCTGGGGACCGAGGGCCGTGACATAATTGACGTATGCATGTGGGAGGTATTGGACACATACTGCACCAGGGTGGCCGATCCTTCTCCGGTGGGGGAGTGCGTTACCGGCGGTGGTCACTGATGAGGCCACACCCCAGGCTTCTCAATGCAGTTCCATCACCGAAGCTGAACATTTATTATTATTATTATTATTATTATTATTATTATTATTATTATTATTTGGATTTTATGTCCCAAAACCACGACATAATTATGATGAACGCTGTAGTAGAGGACTTGGAAATTTCGACCATCCGGTGCTCTTTAGCGGGCACTGACATGGCGCAGTACACGGGCTTCTATCATTTTGCCTGCAGAATGCTAAAACGAATGAAAATGAAGAGAGCAGACAAGAAACTACAGAACGTTAAGAAAAGCAAAAAAAAATGAGAACGAATAATTTAAAAAGTAAGAACTAAAAATTAAGAGTACAGTCTGTAACTGTTAGTAGACATACGTCTCTCTCGGAGAGCCAACCAGCCAGCCAGCCAGCCAGCCAAAGAAATTTATTTATAGGTCCTGAGAATACAAGAATGCCCCCGTCAGGGGGCTTCACACACGATGGCTCCGGGAGGTTCAGGCTCTCAGCGACATTGCGGGCTCTCTGGGCAACCCTTATCTGCTGTTTTTTTTTTTTGTGGAGCTGGTGATGAGTTGAAGCCAGTCTTCTTCAGTAGAGGGAGACCCTGAGCCACCACGCAAGTCGCGACACTGCCACAGCATGTGTTGAAGGGTGCACCTCAGATAACCACAGCGTGGAGAGCATGGGTCTATTCAGCATATAAATTTTGAGCAAATATGCGGAGATAGATATGAGTTCGTCTGTGATAATCGCAGGGCGATTGCCTGCGGTCTGTTTAAGTGTAGGTGTAGAAGCAGAACTTACGACACCCCAGCTGATCGTGCTTACATATCTCGTTAAAAGTAACAAAAGGGTCGTGAAGATTAAGCTATTCCACCGGACGACATAGACATCTGCGTAACTTGCTGCTTTTCGTGGCGCATTTACAGAGTTTTTCACCATCAACCAGCCAAGAAATGAAGCGTGTTCGTGGACTTCGAGGCCGCTATACACTGCTTGATATTCGCCACCCGCCTGGGACATTACGAACAACTAGTCATGAAAATTGGAGCTACTTCATCACCTGTTCGTGAAAGGACATGACATCACAATTCAATGGCTTCCAAGTTACTGAGGCATCTTTGGCAACGAATATGCCGACCACATTGCAAGAATATGCAGGCCGC